TGTATTTAAATCAACATTTTATTTATTTTTTAAGATTATTTAAGTAATCGCTATATCAAGCGTCACATACTCTTCCAACTGAGCCAGCCAGGCGCCTCTTGATGAACACTTTATTTTAGAATAGTTGAGACTTACAGAAAAGTTACAAAGATAGTACAGAGAGCTCCTACAGAGTCACCTAGTTTCCCCTTATCGTTAACATCTTCCATTACCACGGTACATTTGTCACCTCCAAGAAACCAACATTGATAGATTACTATTCACTAAACTCCAGACTATTTTTGGATTTTACTTTTCCACTAAAGTCCTTTATCTGTTCCAAAAGCCCCTCCTGGATACCACATTCCATTTTGCTACCATGATTCCTTAGTCTCCTCTGGTCTGTACAGTTTCTCTGTCTTTCCTTATCCTTCATGATCTTGACAGCTTTGAGGAGTGTTGGTCAGGTATTTTGTAGAATGTCCTTCAATTTGGGTTTATCTGGTATTTTTTTTTAAGATTATTTATTTATTTGACAGAGAGAGTGAGAGAGCTCAAGCAGGGGGAGTGGCAGAGGGAGGGGGGAAACAGACTCCTCACCAAGCAGAGAGCCCAATGCGGGACCTGAACCCAGGACCCTGAGGTCATGACCTGAGCTGAAGGCAGATGCTTAACCGACTGAGCCACCCAGGCGCCCCTATCTGGTATTTTTCTCATTAGACAGGGCTATGCATTCTCTGACATTAACCTTGATGTTAACTAGCCAAGCTAGTACTTGCCAGGTTTCTCTGTGGAAAAGTTATTATTTCTCCCTTTTGTTACTCTGTTCCTAAATTCAGCCCACACTTGAGGGGGAGGAAGGAATAAACTCCACCTCCAGAGGGCAAAGCACACACATGGATGATTTGAAATTCTTGCATAAGGAAAACCTGACTCTCCTCCCACATTTATTTATTCACTCATGTGTTTATATCAGCATGAACTTGTGGGTATTTATTTGATACTTTGGGTTACAAACCAATGCTATGCTATTTGTTTTGTTCAAATTGCAGCTTTCACCAGTGGGAGCTCTTTCAGGCTGGATCCTGTTTTCCCTTTGACATTTCACCTCCTTCTGTTTTTTTGAGCACTTCCTTTGTATATTTTTCATTTATTTTTTAAAAAAGATTTTATATATTTTGACAGAGACACAGCGAGAGAGGGAACACAAGCAGGGGGAGTGGAAGAGGGAGAAGCAAGCTTCCTGCAGAGCGGGGAGCCAGATGCGGGGCTTGATCCCAGGACCCCGGGATCATGACCTGAGCCGAAGGCAGATGCTTAACGGCTGAGCCACCCAGGCGCCCTATTTTTCATTTAAAGAACACTTTTAGGGGCATCTGGCGGGCTCAGTCAGCAGATCATGCGACTCTTGATCTCAGGGTCGTGAGTTCAAGCCTCACATTGGGCGTAGGGCTTACTTAAAAAAAAAGAAAAAGAAAGAAAATACTTGTAGGAAGCAAAAGAAAACGAAAATACCTTTTTTTTTTTTAAGATTTTTATTTATTTGACAGAGAGAGAGTGAGTGAGAGAGAGAGAGCACAAGCAGGGGGAGAGGGAGAAGCAGGCTTCCCGCCAAGCAGGGAGCCCACATGGGGCTTGATCCCAGGACCCCTGGATCAGAACCTGAGCCGAAGGCAGACGATTAACTGACTGAGCCACCCAGGCACCCCCAAAATGAAAATATCTTTACAATCCCATTATCCTGACACAACTAGTGAGCATTTTCATGTTTTGTTGTTCACGTTTTTGAAACACAGCTTTTAAAGGACATGTTTTTACTACTTCCCATGGTTTCATAAACATAACTGCCATTTTTGACAATTATGTAGTGTTTACTGGATGTGTAAGTCAGAGCACCTTAAGAAAAGCTCTCTGAAGTCAGACTATGTGCCCTTGGCCCGGCACGGAATCTGAGCCTGAAGCTTCTCCTCTGTAAAATGGGGAAATGATGGTGTGTCTTACAGGTTTCTGTGAGACTTTAACCAGGTGGCCTAGACAAGGACTCTGGAAATAGATGGCCTGAGTATAAATCCTGACCGTGCCACTTCTTGGCTGGGAAAGTCCGGGCATGTTGCTTAACTTCTCCGTGCCTCAGTTTGATCCAGGAAATGGGGAAGCAAATGGGGGAAACAGAAGGCCTTACCTCTCAGTATTGTTTGACTCAATGTATTCAGTGGTGCCCATAGCAAGTGTTTGGTATCAGCTGTTATTATGAACTCTGGACAGACCTCCATGGCAGGCATTATAACCTAAATATGTGTGTGTGTGTGTGTGTGTGTGTGTGTGTACCCTCCAGCTCAGTGCTTCACACACAGGAGAGGTTCGATGTGCATGTGCACACAGTGTCTGCTCACTAGCAAGATGCAGGTAAACCACTTCCCACTACTAAGGTAACAAAGTACCTTGTACATACCAACAAGATCAGAGTTACACCTTTGAATGTATCTATGCCATCTAGTATTTAGCTTCTTTTTCCTTGCCGTATTGAGGTATAACTGACAAGTAAAAATTACATGTATTTAAGGTGTATAATGTGATGGCTTGATCTGTATTTAGCTTCCCATGGTGGGAGGACTTCATAAAGAATGAAACCATGACATTTAGTCTTAACAGAAACACTTTACTATGCCTCTGAATCTAAACCAATGATGTATATCTTGAATTTGGTCCTTTGGGATGTTTTTATCAAAGAGGAAGACTTTATCCTACTTTTCAGCAATTTTCAAACTTTCTTCATGCTGAGTTTTTTTAGGGACCAAGTCACTAACCCATGCCCACCGTCCTGGCTGCCCCTGGGTCTTATAGGTTCTCATACTCCCCACTTCTCATGTCTAGTTGGCAGTAATGATTCAGAATAAAGTACTCTACACTAATGCATACAAGACATATATGAAATGTGGTTAACATCTGCCGTGTTTCCCTTGTGAGGCTGTTGGGTGCACATACCCTTATGATTGTTTCTCTTTCTTGGCAATATTAAGAATATGGGCCTTGCAGTAGGGCAGAGGACAGAATTCTGGACCCGCCACTTACTAGTTGTTTTGCCTTGGGCAAGTTTTTTTATTTTTTTAAGATTTTATTTATTTATTTGCCAGAGAGAGAGCGAACTTGCACAAGCAGGGGGAGCTGCAGGCAGAGGGAGGAGCAGGCTCCCTGCTGAGCAAGGAGCCCAAAGTGGGACTCGATCCCAGGACCCTGGGGTCATGACCTGAGCGGAAGGCAGACGTTTAACTGACTGAGCCACCCAGGCGCCCGTTGGACAAGTACTTTTTAACCTTTCTGTGCCCATTTCTACAATGAGAAACTGGGTTTTCCTATATTGCAGGATTTTTATGAGGATTCAATGAGAAAATACATGGGGAAACTTTAATTTAGTCCAGTCTGTCATGGAGAAGCATACAACCTTTATTTCTTCCCTTTCACTCTCCAAATTCGACACACTGATGCATTTGGACCTACTCTTTGCACTAATTTGTGCTCCATCTTGTTTCCTTCCCTCCTACATCAGTCAAAGGTCCCTCCAGCAATCTCACTTAGAAAACTACTCCCTAGGGGCACCTGGATGGCTCAGTCAGTTGAGCATCTGACTCTTGGTTTCGGCTCAGGTCATGATTTCAGGGTTGTGGGGTCTAGCCCCACATCGGGCTCTGTGCTCAGTGCAGTGACTGCTTAAGATTCTCTTCTCTCCCTCTGCCTCTCCCCCTGCTCATGCTTGCTCTTTCTCTCAAATAAATAAATCTTAAAAAAAAGAAAAGAAAAGAAAAGAAAAAGGAAGCTACTCTCTATCCCCTGGGCACTAAGAGGAAAATATCCAAGGGACTAAGATTGTGTAACCTCAGTGTTTTTCAGATTTATGCTTTTGGAACCCTTTGTTCAAATGAAACCTTTCTTGGAATCTTGATATAAATAAAACAGATTTTAAAAAGGTCATTGTATTAGCATTCCTTTACTTTATAAGTTCACATAGATCATTTTATAACACCTATTAAAATGTGTTCTGATGGCACATATCAGAAACCCCGGGTTAGAGGTGATAGCTGCAAACTTACCAACCTCAGCATTTGATCCTGCCTCATTTTGACTGCGCAGAATCAGTAAAATTGTGATTCAGACAGAAAATAACTTAGTATCTTAACCACCGCTCCTATCTTCATAATAAATGTAGGGCAATACACACCTAAGAACTATCTATGACACATCATCACGTCCGACCTGCTACCCTTGCACCTGTTATCACATAAGCTGACATTTCTCAGAGCACCATATGTATGTAGCGATAGACCCTCTGTACAATTTTGTATGATAAGTTCACAGTAGTAAATCTAAATACATAAATACTAGTGCAGAAGAACTACATCCTTCCTAGTCTAGGACACATTTGGAAGACATTAAATAGCACAGAAATGATGAAGGATTTAGACAGAAAACTGTACAGAATGAGCTCCTCGGCAGCACAAGGAAGGGACTGATTAATGTCTATCACGAGTACACTGACTGTTCTTCTACCTTCATGCTCTGCTTCCTGGTTGCCTAAGATTCAGGAGAAATGCCCTTCTAATCCTGCCTGGAGAAGGGCCTCCTCCTCCTCCTCCGCTGCCTCTTCGTCCTTTATCAGCGCCAGTAGCTGCAATAAGCCAGGGGCTGGGCCATCCTGTGGCACAGCAAGCTTCCTGCGAAGGGTTCTGTGGACTGCTCCAGCCAAGATTTGGTCTAGGCGGGCCTGATTCACAACATCTTTCTCAACTGCTCCTCTCTCTACCAGTTTCTGTAATAAAGGCTCCAACCTCAGCACGTAAGCAGACAATTTCTCTCCATCCTTCTGATAAGTGGTCAGATACTTGATCTGCAATTCCCTAGGATTATCAATAACCCCAAATACCTGCTCAAGAGCCTGCAGGCATTCAGCGACTGTAATGAAGGGATTGTTTCTCTTGAGGACACGAATAACATCAAATGCTGGGCCCCTAAGGCTCTCTAGCAAGCGTCTTCTTTTCTCTGCATCTGGCACCTGCCATGTCTTCATCATCTAAGTAGTATGAAACAGCCAGGATTCAAATTCTTCTTCTCCTGGTTCTGGAGGGTCACTGCCTGAGAACACTCTCAGTTTTCTGTATCTCAGGTACCGCAGGGCGGGCCGAAGAGCCTCCTCTAATGCCTGCGCCAACACAGGGGCCTGTATTTCTGGGATCGTGTCCTGTCCTAGGTCAAAAGGGTCGTTTCCGTATCCAAGAGCTCTGGTCAACTCCCCCAACGTTGTGCCCTCTCCCTCTAAGAATTCATTTAATCTGCTTAAAAATTCATTATTCAGGTCTGGGGGCTTAAAGATCACTCTCCGGACACCCCTTTTCCGGGTATCTCCTTAGGGACTAGAGCACGAGTCGTCTCCTCCGTCAGCCCTACTAAGGCTACATTCCTGCTCTCATCCCGCCGGCACATCCTCCCGAGCAGTCTGTACCCGCCCATCGGCGCCAAACCAGCCCGCAGAGCCTCCTCGGTTCCTGCCACAGTGCAGGTCGGGGGGATGCCGGCAACCAACAGCGCTTTCCGAGGGCTCACATCCATCCCCCCGCACCAGGCTTCTAAGAGCCTCGGCGTCATGGTGCCCCAAACAACAGATTTAAATTCTAATGCGGCCGGGGCACCGATGCCGCCGCAATGCACGGCGTTTCTCCGCGGCACCCCGGGTGAGTGCCGTCAGCGTCCCGACCGGAGGCCTGCAGGGACAAAGCAGTCGGGTTAGCGGCAGGTGTCTGTGACCCCGGCCCCGAGAGGCCCCGCGGCGCCGGGCGACCTTCCGGCCGGCCCCACTGCGACAAGCGGCCGTCTCACCCTCTCCGCGGCCCCGCGCGCCCCTCGCCGCTATCCAGTCGTCCGCGCCCGCGTCCCTCTCCTGCACCCGGAGCCACCAGGGGATGGCGGCCCGCGCCGTCCCCGCGCTGCTGTCCGCGGCGAGGCACCGGGGCCCAGGCCGAGGGGCTCCGAGGATGCCCGGACCGCCACCCACGTGAAGGGACGCGCCGGGCCCCGCGCCGCCGCAGCCCCCGCCCCCGCCCCCGCCGGAGCGGTGCCGGGCGCGCGCCGGGAGACGGCCTGCCGTCACGACGGGGCGGAGCGCGCGCGCTTCCGGCTCGAGCCGGAAGTCCCGACTGTGGCAGCTTCCGGGACGGCGGGCGGGCGGGCCAAACGGGACAGGAAGGTGAGATCCGGGAGCTGCCCGTCTCTGCAGGCTCGGCCGGTGGCCGCTGCCCGGCACTGGGCTCCCGGCGCTGCGAGGCGGAGAGGCCCGGGCCCGGCGCCGCCCGCGCAGCCCTGGTCGGGCCGCCGGCGCTGCAGCGCGGCGGGGGGCGGGGCCGGCTGCCGGGGAGCCTCCCGGCCCCGCCGGGTGACACTGGCTGGGGCTCCGGCCGCAGCCACAGGGCCCGGGCCGTCGCGTGACTGGCCGCAGTCACGCTGTGCTTAATCACAATTAGCTTGTGCTCCAGGCTGGCCGCGCTCCCATTTCTCCCAGCCGGTGACCCCGGGGATTTCTCTTATGGTGGCTTTCTCTGAAATGCCCAAACCACCCGAGTATTCAGAACTGAGTGACTCTTTAACGCTTGCCGTGGGAACAGGAAGATTTTCGGGACCACTGTAAGTGTTTAAGAGTTACTGTCTTAACGTGGGGGCTCCGACATTGCTTTGACTTGTAGAATCGAGTGTTCACGTCCGAAACAGTAGTGTTAAGTCAGAAACTATTTGAACTATAAAGGTGAAGTGTTTCTTAGGAAACCAGTTTAATTCCAGTTTCTCAAGGGAAGGTGTGCTGGACCTACTTAAGCCGGATATAGTGATTTATTTATTCTGTGGGATTCACATAAAAAGCACTCTCAATATATACTGAAACTTTACTTTCTCATAACTATTACAGAAAACAAGCTGTGCGTTGTTTACATTTCTTAGTAAATGCAAATTTAATTATTTCAAGCCTGAGATGCATTAATGGGGAATCATTGCCATGACAGCATTACTAGACCCTAACTTTTTTTTTTTTCCTTAATTTGAAGGCACAGAGCATGGAGAATGATGAACTTCCGTCAGAGGATGGGATGGATTGGAGTGGGATTGTATTTGTTAGCAAGTGCAGGAGCATTTTACTATGTTTTTGAAATCAATGAGACTTACAACAGGCTGGCCTTGGAACACATTCAGCAGCACCCGGAAGAGCCCCTTGAAGGAACCACATGGACACACTCCTTGAAAGCTCGTTTACTCTCCCTGCCTTTTTGGTTTTGGACAGTTATTTTTCTGATACCTTATTTACAGATGTTTTTGTTCCTTTATTCTTGTACAAGAGCTGACCCCAAAACGGTGGGCTACTGTATTATCCCCATATGCTTGGCAGTTATTTGCAATCGCCACCAGGCATTTGTCAAGGCTTCTAATCAGATCAGCAGACTACAACTGATTGACACCTAAAATCAGTCACCATTTTTTCCTTACAGTTACAAAACTGCCAGTACTATATGGAGCCTGATCACAAGACTGCAGTTTGTTCACAGATCTCAGGAAGTTGTGGTGGGGCAGAGGCTTTCTAAAAAGTGTGACTAGGGGGCTATCTTTATCTGAATAATAATGAATTTTTAAGTGAAGCCTGAGATACAGTACTACAAAATCATGTTGATGACTTCAGATTTTGGAAGTAAAATCGTGTCTGTTATTTGCATTCTTTAGAAACTTGAATAAGTACCTGAACTATTTTTATTCTACTGTGCAACATAGTGATGATTCAGAAATTTTTCCTTTGGGGAAAAAAATGAATATGAACATTTCCATTGTGCTTAATGTAAAAAGGTCCAAACATGGTCATAAAATTTAAATTTTATACAATTACTTGGCTTGCTTTAAAATTCTTCAAACTAAAACACCAGTTCAACCTGTTGTAACTAAGCCAACTATGCTTGCTTGCTTGCTATCAGTTCGTGAGAAATTGGTATAAAATTCCTGAGGTGATGGCTATCTTGATAAGCAAAGTCTGTGCTTCCTTTTGGTGATGCTGCTGGGATTATCAGCGTTATTACCGCTACTAGTTTTTAAAAAATTACTTGGGAAGAAACTAAATGTTTGAAAGTTGAGAAATCTTACACACAGACGATGGAAACGAGGTGTTCAGTGAAAATATTTAGTCTGGTCCCTGTCAGATGTGTGACACCCCTCTAAAATCCTACCAAGTCGTCATCCTGATTTTCTTTTCTGGCCTAAGGTCCAGCCTTCAGGTCTTCAGGCAACAGGTGAATTGCATGAAGATGTGATCTTTGTACTTCCTCCTTTGCATTTGTACTTACTACCTCATGTCTGGTACCAATACAAATAACTAAAACATGGAAATATCAGATTTTAGGATTTTTTTTCCTTTTTTTCTGGGTGGGATCAAGATGTATTTTTATACAGTTGTGCCATTAATACCAAGGACATTACACTGATAGATTTTAATAATAACCATAACCTTTTTTGGTGCTTATTCTGTTGGGCTCTGTTCTAAGAGGTTTACATGAATTAACTCATTTAATCCTCTCAACAACCCTAAGAAAACAATTATCTAGATTTTACAGATAAAGCCCCTGAGATAGAGAAGTTAAATAACTTGGGGTGCCTGGGTGGCTCAGTTGGTTAAGCGACTGCCTTCGGCTCAGGTCATGATCCTGGAGTCCAGGATCGAGTCCCGCATTGGGCTCCCTGCTCGGCCGGGAGTCTGCTTCTCCCTCTGACCCTCCTCCCTCTCGGGCTCTCTGTCTCTCATTCTCTCTCGCAAATAAATAAATAAAATCTTTAAAAAAAAAAAAAGAAGTTAAAAAACTTGCCTGTTAAGGTCACACAGCTGGTAAGCAGCAGAGCGAGAGGTATGACCAGGCATCGGATGCCTTTGTTCCTAACCACTGACCTGTAGTGCTTCTCCCAAATGATGTGTTTCCCGGGATTGTCTGCCTAGCCATGCCACAGAATGGAAAGGGCATTATTGAAAGGTTGTTCTCAATTCGTATGAGCTATTGAAAATCTAAAAGTGTTCTAACAACCTCAGCGTTCAAGTCTGATCTGACTGGAATGGAAGGCTGAACATTCCACAGCAAGCGTTGCTTGAAAGATAGAGCTGGTACCTTTGTAACTCACAAGCAGCATGATCGGATCCTTGTCCAGGTAATCAATCTCACTTTCCCTTTGCTTCTTCCAGAGGTCTGGTGACTGAAATGATAGAGCTTTTGCTACAATACACTGACTCTCCAAAGTAGGCAGCAGTCTGAAATACCCGTTTCTGTGAGGGTCAGATAACCAAATCACTTGGCATCTCTTGAGTACTTGACTAATAGTATGCACGCTACAGTCACTGTTCTCTGAGTGATTTCCGTCTTTCTTCACAGCAGGCCTAGGAGGCAGGTACGTGTTGGTACTAGTGCCATTTTACAGAAGAGGAAGCACAGGAATTCATAACTGGCCCGTGGTCACACAGCAAGGACGTGGAAAAGTCAGGATTTGAACTCAGGATGTCTGGCTTCAGATCTCCAGCTCTATCACCTCGTTACACTGCTTTTCAGAAGAAAGGATAATAGGAGGAAAATCATTGAGCAGTTTGATTTGATTTCGTCTTGAGGCAGTGGTAGTTTGAAAATGATTTAAGAAAAGTACTTCAATTTTTTTCATTTTATAAATGCTTGAGATAATGCAAGGTTTGTGAGTTTATCACTTGTCTTATAAAGTAGTAATTCCTTTTTATTGAAGTAGACTATCTTTTATATTTCAAATTCTAGTATTTGGGGATTTGGTAAGTATTCGGTCCATCTCTATCTTTCAAGACTAGATTGCCTTGGTAGTAGAAATACTAAAATAGAGTGGGAGTAATTCAGTACTTCCAAATGTAATTACTAAGTTTCAGATTGTAGGGTTAATGTTTTTTGATTATTTAGGAATTAATTACCCAAGCTGTGAATTATTCCTATTTGTCTATGGCTATTTAATAGTTCAAAGCACTCTTTGTAGAGGGAAGGGTGAAATTAATCTAGATCTGTTAGATTGAGGGGGAGGTTAAGCTGATGGAGAGGAAACCTGTGTATTATATCAAGTTATTTCATATTTACATCACAGTACAGTAAGCAGTGAGTACAGGATTAGATAAATGGCAAATATAGGAAGCGCTTCAGGGATTGTAGGGAAAGGACAAGTATCGTAGTATTCATAACTCGTCAATAATACCTGCTTCCAGAAATGAGAAAGACAGAGTTAATATCCCCTAATTGCTTTATTCCCCCCCCCCCCCGTTGCTTAATAAGTCACCTTATTTGCAACCACATCTGAAAGGAAGTAAAACCTGTTGTGTGTTTTTCATGGAAATATGCCAGATATTTTATTTTTTTGAAAGTGCCAGGATAGAGAATAGATAATTAAATCCGAGAAACATCTAATTCATGGAGCTTTAGTCACCATGTAACTTTTCTAGTTTTAAAGATGCTACCAGTTTTTTTTGATGGGCCCAGTCTCACCACCCTGAGATCAGGACCTGAGCTAAAATCAAGAGTCAGATGCTCCCCTGACTGAGCCCCCCACGTGCCCCTAAATGCTATCAGTTTTAAAGTAAAAAATGTGATTTCCTAAGTTTAGAATTTGAATCTATTTCAAAGCTTTTATAATTAATTAAAAAAAACCTTTTCGTTGGGGAGGTGGAATCATCAGAACATTTCTATGGCAGTAACCACACCCATAAACTAATTAGACTGGGATGTCTGTTCACCACGGGTAGTGTTACAGTTTTTATTAAGATTATCTAGTGTTGATTTCCTTCTTGATGGATTTAACAATCTCAGTCTCCAAAATAGAAAGCTTTACTACAATACTGCATGACTCATTTTGTATCAAGTGTGTGCCATCGCTTAATCTTAATTCTCTAACCTACTTATAAAGTTCCAGAAAATTCTAGACCATGATTGGGAATCCTGCATTAGTATTTTTGTTTTGGTCTAAGACAGTGAATAGGTTTTGTATATTAGAGCTGTATATTAGAATCATCCAAAGAAATAAACAAGAAACAAAGCAAAACTCCTCACATAAACAATGCCGAGGTCCCTGCCCAGTTTTGTCACTCTTGGGGAGAGGAGAAGAGGCAGCTGTGTTTTTAGAGCTCTTCACATGATTGTATTGGAATCATTCGTGGAGAATCACTGGACCATGGGTTTGTACGCACCATAAAGACTCAACTGTCCGTCATCTTAGTTGTATCTGTCTTTGGAGCAGTTTCAACAAATACTTTGCAGCAAGTTCACCCCAGCTATTTGAATTGTAAATCTTTAAAGAGCTGTCTCTATTGTCTTTAAAAATTTCAAGGCTTAAATAGACTCTATTGCTACAAGTTGGGGCTATACAGAGCTGGGCCTTATAAACTGATACATGTGGTCCCGGGATGTCACCATGGAGAAATCAAGAAGTCATGATTGTAGAAGAGGTCACTGTAACTGAAGGCCATGATCCAAGGGAGGCCAGCTAGGAATTCAGCAGACATGATCAGGACAAACAGAGCATGGTCAGGTCACAAGGTGAGGGAGAGGACAGTGCCTTCACTCCTGCTTCCTGTAGCTCTCCAAATGTGACAAGACCCAGCCCCATGGCTGGAAAAACAAAGCAGGAGGTGAGTCCAAAGGTGATGTCCATGGTCCTGAGCTATTCCTATGGTAGCTTGAGATGATCTGGGCAAGCAGCACCGGGAACCCTACACTGGGCCTATCAGGCCCTCCACTCCAGGGGCAGTGTCAGCATGGACATGACCATACAGAGTAGACTGTAGGCGGCTGCCTGCCGGAGCCCAAGTTCAGGAACAAGGTGTATTTTCTGGTCCTAGTTCCTCTCCTCCAGATTATTCTGAACACACTTGTATCAGGGTTTTTTCTCCCACTCTACCAAAACTGCTCTCTTGTCAAGAGGTCACTGGTCACTTACACATAACTAAACCCAATGGTCAAGACTCAGCCCTTAAATTACTCATTAGCAGTTTTTGACACACCCCTTGCCTTGAGATACTTTCTTCAGCTGGTTTCTGGATCAGTACTGCCCAATAGAGCTTTAGTGATGATGGAAATACTTTGTATCTATCTTTACTGTCCAAATCAGTAGCCATTAGCCACATGAAATGAGCCCTTGAGATGTGGCTAGTGTGACAGGAACTGAATTTTAAATTTTAATTAGTTCAAATAGCCACATGTGGCTAGCAGCTACCAGATTTTACCCCAGTTCTAGACACTTCCCTGGTTTGCCTTCTTCCTCATCAACTTCTCCTGTTTCCATTGCTGGTTCCTCCCTGGGGCTCTGCCGTTTCTGAATGTTGACATCCCCCAGTTCTCATTTCTATACTTTCTCCCCTTGGTCATCCTATCCTGGTTCATGGCTTTAAGTGCCCAAATTTATATTACTACCCTGCATATCTCCTGAGCTCCAGACTTGGATATTCAACTGCCTATTTGGCATTTACTAAGATGTCTTACCAGGCATCTGAGATTTAACTTGTCCAAAACCAAGCTCCTCATCTCTCTACCCACCAAAATCTGCTCAAGGCCCCTGTAAGTCTATCAAAAAGTGCCAAGAGATTCTTTTAAAATGTTATTCTCTCAAAAACCCTCCTATAGCTTCCCTACTGAGAATAAAACTCAAAGTTCTTAACATGGCTTACAAAGTCCTAAATAAGTGCTCTTGACCATTTTCTTCATTTTCTACTATTCTCTCCACCCCTCATTCCACTCTAGCCACACTGATTTTCCTGCTGAT